GCCTTGAATCACTTTTCACTACTGGCACTGCCTTTACAACATTTTACTATCATAGCTCAAAATTACTATAACATGATACTTCATTCATAATACATACCTTGCACTTAAGCTAGAATAATCATTCTGCATTCTAGCAGCATATGGTCATCTGTTTAAAAGGGAAAATCCATAAATGCAACCAAAAATACAATGTCTGAAAAATCAGTGACAGTAAATGAAATTCTACAAGTGAAAATACCTAGTCTCATTTGTTCCAAATATATTTTTCAACAGATCCAATATCTTACACCACAACTTAATAATCTTGTTACAATTAGCCATTAAAAAACTTTATGTAACATGACATTAAGACCTACATACTTACCATTTGTATCAATTCCTTGCATTTTGGGTCTTGAAATAGGTGAGCATCCCTCTCAGTGCTTTTCCTATTGCTGGAAGGAGGGAGGGAGGCAAGACAGAGGAGGATTAATGAATGTCCTATAAAACAAAAAGTACTTCCATCACATAATAATCTAACTGCTCAGCTCTCATAATCATTGTACATTTGGCCCACAACCATCAGCAGCTGATAAAGGACTTGGCAATACAGAATAGTCTGAATTGAGTTATGACAACTGTCACCTCACACATCACACTAAATTAAGCTGGACACAGTGCTTTCCAACCAATGATGTTCACGCACCTCCACCTACACATTACTCACATAATAAATAGGTGTCCTTGACACAGTAAACATCAAGGATCCAAAGGGTGTCTGGTGTTCTGCCTCTCTTCTCAGAGGTTGACCTGCTAGACCTTCTCATGTCCCTTCTCTCAGACCTTCCCAGGGGCATCAGCCTCACTCTGACCCCTAGTGTGAGCTTGTGCTGCCTTGTCACTTTATCACTACACATGGAACTGCCTTTACAACATTTTACTCATCATAGCTCAACTAATATAATACCATGATACTTCATTCATAATACATACCTTGCACTTAAAACTGAAAAACTCATTCTGGATCTTCCATCACCATGCTATGGTGAATCTGTTTAAAATGCAAAGTCTATCAATGCAGGCTTAACAAAAACCTCAAAAGTCAATGATGGTAAACCAGTGGAACAGCAACTGTGAAATTCGAGTCCCATCATTTATTTCAAGTACATTTTTCAGTGGATCTAACATTTGCACCAATAGTTAATAATCATATTACAAAATATTCCAATTCAAACCTTTATATACACAATAATAAGAACTGCATGCTTACCATGATTCTATTTCTTTTCTTCCTTGCATTTTCAATCTTGAAATAGAACTTGAGCATCTCTCACTGTTTTTCTTATTGCTGAAAATAACATGAGATTAATAAATGTTCTATAAATCACAAGTACTTCCAAAACTTTAAAAATCTAACTGCTCAGCTCTCATAATCATTGTACATTTGGCCAACAACCATCAGCAGCTGATAAAGGACTTGGCAATACAGAATAGTCTGAATTGAGTTATGACAACTGTCACCTCACACATCACACTAAATTAAGCTGGACACAGTGCCTTTCCAACCAATGATGTTCACGCACCTCCACCTACACATTACTCACATAATAAATAGGTGTCCTTGACACTGTAAACAACAAGGGTCCAAAAGGATGTCTGGTGTTTCTGCCCCTCTTCTCAGAGGTTGACCTGCTAGACCTTCTCATGTCCCTTCTCTCAGACCTTCCCAGGGCAAATGGGCATCAGCCTCACTCTGACCCCTAGTGTGAGCTTGTGCTGCCTTGTCACTTTATCACTACACATGGAACTGCCTTTACAACATTTTACTCATCATAGCTCAACTAATATAATACCATGATACTTCATTCATAATACATACCTTGCACTTAAAACTGAAAAACTCATTCTGGATCTTCCATCACCATGCTATGGTGAATCTGTTTAAAATGCAAAGTCTATCAATGCAGGCTTAACAAAAACCTCAAAAGTCAATGATGGTAAACCAGTGGAACAGCAACTGTGAAATTCGAGTCCCATCATTTATTTCAAGTACATTTTTCAGTGGATCTAACATTTGCACCAATAGTTAATAATCATATTACAAATATTCCCAATTCAAACCTTTATATACACAATAATAAGAACTGCATGCTTACCATGATTCTATTTCTTTTCTTCCTTGCATTTCCAATCTTGAAATAGAACTTGAGCATCTCTCACGGTGTTTTTCTTATTGCTGAAAATAACATGAGATTAATAAATGTTCTATAAATCACAAGTACTTCCAAAACTTTAAAAATCTAACTGCTCAGCTCTCATAATCATTGTACATTTGGCCAACAACCATCAGCAGCTGATAAAGGACTTGGCAATACAGAATAGTCTGAATTGAGTTATGACAACTGTCACCTCACACATCACACTAAATTAAGCTGGACACAGTGCCTTTCCAACCAATGATGTTCACGCATCTCCACCTACACATTACTCACATAATATATAGGTGTCCTTGACACTGTAAACAACAAGGATCCAAAAGGATGTCTGGTGTTCTGCCCCTCTTCTCAGAGGTTGACCTGCTAGACCTTCTCATGTCCCTTCTCTCAGACCTTCCCAGGGGCAAATGTGGCATCAGCCTCACTCTGACCCCTAGTGTGAGCTTGTGCTGCCTTGTCACTTTATCACTACATGGCACTGCCTTTACAACATTTTACTCATCATAGCTCAAATTACTATAACATGATACTTCATTCATAATACATACCTTGCACTTCAAGCTAGAATAATCATTCTGCATTTTCTAGCAGCATATGGTCATCTGTTTAAAAAGGGAAAATCCATAAATGCAACCAAAAATACAATGTCTGAAAAATCAGTGACAGTAAATGAAATTCTACAAGTGAAAATACCTAGTCTCATTTGTTCCAAATATATTTTTCAACAGATCCAATATCTACACCCACACTTAATAATCTTGTTACAATTAGCCATTAAAAAACCTTTATGTAACATGACATTAAGACCTACATACTTACCATTTGTATCAATTCCTTGCATTTTGGGTCTTGAAATAGGTGAGCATCCCTCTCAGTGCTTTTCCTATTGCTGGAAGGAGGGAGGGAGGCAGAGACAGAGGAGGATTAATGAATGTCCTATAAAACAAAAGTACTTCCATCACATAATAATCTAACTGCTCAGCTCTCATAATCATTGTACATTTGGCCCACAACCATCAGCAGCTGATAAAGGACTTGGCAATACAGAATAGTCTGAATTGAGTTATGACAACTGTCACCTCACACATCACACTAAATTAAGCTGGACACAGTGCCTTTCCAACCAATGATGTTCACGCACCTCCACCTACACATTACTCACATAATAAATAGGTGTCCTTGACACTGTAAACAACAAGGATCCAAAAGGATGTCTGGTGTTCTGCCCTCTTCTCAGAGGTTGACCTGCTAGACCTTCTCATGTCCCTTCTCTCAGACCTTCCCAGGGGCATCAGCCTCACTCTGACCCCTAGTGTGAGCTTGTGCTGCCTTGTCACTTTATCACTACACATGGAACTGCCTTTACAACATTTTTTACTCATCATAGCTCAACTAATATAATACCATGATACTTCATTCATAATACATACCTTGCACTTAAAACTGAAAAACTCATTCTGGATCTTCCATCACCATGCTATGGTGAATCTGTTTAAAATGCAAAGTCTATCAATGCAGGCTTAACAAAAACCTCAAAAGTCAATGATGGTAAACCAGTGGAACAGCAACTGTGAAATTCGAGTCCCATCATTTATTTCAAGTACATTTTTCAGTGGATCTAACATTTGCACCAATAGTTAATAATCATATTACAAAATATTCCCAATTCAAACCTTTATATACACAATAATAAGAACTGCATGCTTACCATGATTCTATTTCTTTTCTTCCTTGCATTTCCAATCTTGAAATAGAACTTGAGCATCTCTCACGGTGTTTTTCTTATTGCTGAAAATAACATGAGATTAATAAATGTTCTATAAATCACAAGTACTTCCAAAACTTTAAAAATCTAACTGCTCAGCTCTCATAATCATTGTACATTTGGCCAACAACCATCAGCAGCTGATAAAGGACTTGGCAATACAGAATAGTCTGAATTGAGTTATGACAACTGTCACCTCACACATCACACTAAATTAAGCTGGACACAGTGCCTTTCCAACCAATGATGTTCACGCATCTCCACCTACACATTACTCACATAATATATAGGTGTCCTTGACACTGTAAACAACAAGGATCCAAAAGGATGTCTGGTGTTCTGCCCCTCTTCTCAGAGGTTGACCTGCTAGACCTTCTCATGTCCCTTCTCTCAGACCTTCCCAGGGGCAAATGTGGCATCAGCCTCACTCTGACCCCTAGTGTGAGCTTGTGCTGCCTTGTCACTTTATCACTACATGGCACTGCCTTTACAACATTTTACTCATCATAGCTCAAATTACTATAACATGATACTTCATTCATAATACATACCTTGCACTTCAAGCTAGAATAATCATTCTGCATTTTCTAGCAGCATATGGTCATCTGTTTAAAAGGGAAAATCCATAAATGCAACCAAAAATACAATGTCTGAAAAATCAGTGACAGTAAATGAAATTCTACAAGTGAAAATACCTAGTCTCATTTGTTCCAAATATATTTTTCAACAGATCCAATATCTACACCCACACTTAATAATCTTGTTACAATTAGCCATTAAAAACCTTTATGTAACATGACATTAAGACCTACATACTTACCATTTGTATCAATTCCTTGCATTTTGGGTCTTGAAATAGGTGAGCATCCCTCTCAGTGCTTTTCCTATTGCTGGAAGGAGGGAGGGAGGCAGAGACAGAGGAGGATTAATGAATGTCCTATAAAACAAAAGTACTTCCATCACATAATAATCTAACTGCTCAGCTCTCATAATCATTGTACATTTGGCCCACAACCATCAGCAGCTGATAAAGGACTTGGCAATACAGAATAGTCTGAATTGAGTTATGACAACTGTCACCTCACACATCACACTAAATTAAGCTGGACACAGTGCCTTTCCAACCAATGATGTTCACGCACCTCCACCTACACATTACTCACATAATAAAATAGGTGTCCTTGACACTGTAAACAACAAGGATCCAAAAGGATGTCTGGTGTTCTGCCCCTCTTCTCAGAGGTTGACCTGCTAGACCTTCTCATGTCCCTTCTCTCAGACCTTCCCAGGGGCAAATGCGGCATCAGCCTCACTCTGACCCCTAGTGTGAGCTTGTGCTGCCTTGTCACTTTATCACTACATGAACTGCCTTTACAACATTTTACTCATCATAGCTCAAATATAATACCATGATACTTCATTCATAATACATACCTTGCACTTAAAACTGAAAAACTCATTCTGGATTTTCATCACCATGCTATGGTGAATCTGTTTAAAATGCAAAGTCTATCAATGCAACAAAAAAAATGTCAAAAATCATGACAGTAAAATGAACACAAGTGAAAATTAGTCCATTTTTCAAGTACATTTTTCAACAGATCCAACATTGCACCCATAGTTAATAATCATATTACAATTAGCCATTAAAACCTTTATGTAACATAATTAAGACTGCATGCTTACCATTGTCAATTCCTTGCATTTTTCTTGAAATAGAACTTGAGCATCTCTCAGTGTTTTTCTTATTGCTACGAGATTAATAAATGTCTATAAATCACAAGTACTTCCAAACTTTAAAATCTAACTGCTCAGCTCTCATAATCATTGTACATTTGGCCCACAACCATCAGCAGCTGATAAAGGACTTGGCAATACAGAATAGTCTGAATTGAGTTATGACAACTGTCACCTCACACATCACACTAAATTAAGCTGGACACAGTGCCTTTCCAACCAATGATGTTCACGCACCTCCACCTACACATTACTCACATAATAAATAGGTGTCCTTGACACTGTAAACAAGGATCCAAAAGGATGTCTGGTGTTCTGCCCCTCTTCTCAGAGGTTGACCTGCTAGACCTTCTCATGTCCCTTCTCTCAGACCTTCCCAGGGGCAAATGTGGCATCAGCCTCACTCTGACCCCTAGTGTGAGCTTGTGCTGCCTTGTCACTTTATCACTACACATGGAACTGCCTTTACAACATTTTACTCATCATAGCTCAACTATATAATACCATGATACTTCATTCATAATACATACCTTGCACTTAAAACTGAAAAACTCATTCTGGATCTTCCATCACCATGCTATGGTGAATCTGTTTAAAATGCAAAGTCTATCAATGCAGGCTTAACAAAAACCTCAAAAGTCAATGATGGTAAACCAGTGGAACAGCAACTGTGAAATTCGAGTCCCATCATTTATTTCAAGTACATTTTTCAGTGGATCTAACATTTGCACCAATAGTTAATAATCATATTACAAAATATTCCCAATTCAAACCTTTATATACACAATAATAAGAACTGCATGCTTACCATGATTCTATTTCTTTTCTTCCTTGCATTTCCAATCTTGAAATAGAACTTGAGCATCTCTCACTGTGTTTTTCTTATTGCTGAAATAACATGAGATTAAAATGTTCTATAAATCACAAGTACTTCCAAAACTTTAAAAATCTAACTGCTCAGCTCTCATAATCATTGTACATTTGGCCACAACCATCAGCAGCTGATAAAGGACTTGGCAATACAGAATAGTCTGAATTGAGTTATGACAACTGTCACCTCACACATCACACTAAATTAAGCTGGACACAGTGCCTTTCCAACCAATGATGTTCACGCACCTCCACCTACACATTACTCACATAATAAATAGGTGTCCTTGACAGTAAACAACAAGGGTCCAAAAGGATGTCTGGTGTTCTGCCCCTCTTCTCAGAGGTTGACCTGCTAGACCTTCTCATGTCCCTTCTCTCAGACCTTCCCAGGGGCATCAGCCTCACTCTGACCCCTAGTGTGAGCTTGTGCTGCCTTGTCACTTTATCACTACACATGGAACTGCCTTTACAACATTTTACTCATCATAGCTCAACTAATATAATACCATGATACTTCATTCATAATACATACCTTGCACTTAAAACTGAAAAACTCATTCTGGATCTTCCATCACCATGCTATGGTGAATCTGTTTAAAATGCAAAGTCTATCAATGCAGGCTTAACAAAAACCTCAAAAGTCAATGATGGTAAACCAGTGGAACAGCAACTGTGAAATTCGAGTCCCATCATTTATTTCAAGTACATTTTTCAGTGGATCTAACATTTGCACCAATAGTTAATAATCATATTACAAAATATTCCCAATTCAAACCTTTATATACACAATAATAAGAACTGCATGCTTACCATGATTCTATTTTTTTCTTCCTTGCATTTCCAATCTTGAAATAGAACTTGAGCATCTCTCACGGTGTTTTCTTATTGCTGAAAATAACATGAGATTAATAAATGTTCTATAAATCACAAGTACTTCCAAAACTTTAAAAATCTAACTGCTCAGCTCTCATAATCATTGTACATTTGGCCAACAACCATCAGCAGCTGATAAAGGACTTGGCAATACAGAATAGTCTGAATTGAGTTATGACAACTGTCACCTCACACATCACACTAAATTAAGCTGGACACAGTGCCTTTCCAACCAATGATGTTCACGCATCTCCACCTACACATTACTCACATAATATATAGGTGTCCTTGACACTGTAAACAACAAGGATCCAAAAGGATGTCTGGTGTTCTGCCCCTCTTCTCAGAGGTTGACCTGCTAGACCTTCTCATGTCCCTTCTCTCAGACCTTCCCAGGGGCAAATGTGGCATCAGCCTCACTCTGACCCCTAGTGTGAGCTTGTGCTGCCTTGTCACTTTATCACTACATGGCACTGCCTTTACAACATTTTACTCATCATAGCTCAAATTACTATAACATGATACTTCATTCATAATACATACCTTGCACTTCAAGCTAGAATAATCATTCTGCATTTTCTAGCAGCATATGGTCATCTGTTTAAAAAGGGAAAATCCATAAATGCAACCAAAAATACAATGTCTGAAAAATCAGTGACAGTAAATGAAATTCTACAAGTGAAAATACCTAGTCTCATTTGTTCCAAATATATTTTTCAACAGATCCAATATCTACACCCACATTAATAATCTTGTTACAATTAGCCATTAAAAACCTTTATGTAACATGACATTAAGACCTACATACTTACCATTTGTATCAATTCCTTGCATTTTGGGTCTTGAAATAGGTGAGCATCCCTCTCAGTGCTTTTCCTATTGCTGGAAGGAGGGAGGGAGGCAGAGACAGAGGAGGATTAATGAATGTCCTATAAACAAAAGTACTTCCATCACATAATAATCTAACTGCTCAGCTCTCATAATCATTGTACATTTGGCCCACAACCATCAGCAGCTGATAAAGGACTTGGCAATACAGAATAGTCTGAATTGAGTTATGACAACTGTCACCTCACACATCACACTAAATTAAGCTGGACACAGTGCCTTTCCAACCAATGATGTTCACGCACCTCCACCTACACATTACTCACATAATAAATAGGTGTCCTTGACACAGTAAACAACAAGGATCCAAAAGGATGTCTGGTGTTCTGCCCCTCTTCTCAGAGGTTGACCTGCTAGACCTTCTCATGTCCCTTCTCTCAGACCTTCCCAGGGGCATCAGCCTCACTCTGACCCCTAGTGTGAGCTTGTGCTGCCTTGTCACTTTATCACTACACATGGAACTGCCTTTACAACATTTTACTCATCATAGCTCAACTAATATAATACCATGATACTTCATTCATAATACATACCTTGCACTTAAAACTGAAAAACTCATTCTGGATCTTCCATCACCATGCTATGGTGAATCTGTTTAAAATGCAAAGTCTATCAATGCAGGCTTAACAAAAACCTCAAAAGTCAATGATGGTAAACCAGTGGAACAGCAACTGTGAAATTCGAGTCCCATCATTTATTTCAAGTACATTTTTCAGTGGATCTAACATTTGCACCAATAGTTAATAATCATATTACAAAATATTCCCAATTCAAACCTTTATATACACAATAATAAGAACTGCATGCTTACCATGATTCTATTTCTTTTCTTCCTTGCATTTCCAATCTTGAAATAGAACTTGAGCATCTCTCACGGTGTTTTTCTTATTGCTGAAAATAACATGAGATTAATAAATGTTCTATAAATCACAAGTACTTCCAAAACTTTAAAAATCTAACTGCTCAGCTCTCATAATCATTGTACATTTGGCCAACAACCATCAGCAGCTGATAAAGGACTTGGCAATACAGAATAGTCTGAATTGAGTTATGACAACTGTCACCTCACACATCACACTAAATTAAGCTGGACACAGTGCCTTTCCAACCAATGATGTTCACGCATCTCCACCTACACATTACTCACATAATATATAGGTGTCCTTGACACTGTAAACAACAAGGATCCAAAAGGATGTCTGGTGTTCTGCCCTCTTCTCAGAGGTTGACCTGCTAGACCTTCTCATGTCCCTTCTCTCAGACCTTCCCAGGGGCAAATGTGGCATCAGCCTCACTCTGACCCCTAGTGTGAGCTTGTGCTGCCTTGTCACTTTATCACTACATGGCACTGCCTTTACAACATTTTACTCATCATAGCTCAACTACTATAACATGATACTTCATTCATAATACATACCTTGCACTTCAAGCTAGAATAATCATTCTGCATTTTCTAGCAGCATATGGTCATCTGTTTAAAAAGGGAAAATCCATAAATGCAACCAAAAATACAATGTCTGAAAAATCAGTGACAGTAAAAAATTCTACAAGTGAAAATACCTAGTCTCATTTGTTCCAAATATATTTTTCAACAGATCAATATCTACACCCACACTTAATAATCTTGTTACAATTAGCCATTAAAAACCTTTATGTAACATGACATTAAGACCTACATACTTACCATGTATCAATTCCTTGCATTTTGGGTCTTGAAATAGGTGAGCATCCCTCTCAGTGCTTTTCCTATTGCTGGAAGGAGGAGGGAGGCAGAGACAGAGGAGGATTAATGAATGTCCTATAAAAACAAAAGTACTTCCATCACATAATAATCTAACTGCTCAGCTCTCATAATCATTGTACATTTGGCCCACAACCATCAGCAGCTGATAAAGGACTTGGCAATACAGAATAGTCTGAATTGAGAGTTATGACAACTGTCACCTCACACATCACACTAAATTAAGCTGGACACAGTGCCTTTCCAACCAATGATGTTCACGCACCTCCACCTACACATTACTCACATAATAAATAGGTGTCCTTGACACTGTAAACAAGGATCCAAAAGGATGTCTGGTGTTCTGCCCCTCTTCTCAGAGGTTGACCTGCTAGACCTTCTCATGTCCCTTCTCTCAGACCTTCCCAGGGGCGGCATCAGCCTCACTCTGACCCCTAGTGTGAGCTTGTGCTGCCTTGTCACTTTATCACTACACATGGAACTGCCTTTACAACATTTTTTATCATCATAGCTCAAATATAATAACATGATACTTCATTCATAATACATACCTTGCACTTAAACTGAAAATCATTCTGGATTTTCTACCATGCTATGGTGAATCTGTTTAAAAAAAAATCTATCAATGCAACCAAAAACAATGTCAAAATCAGTGACAGTAAATGAAATTCAACTGTGAAAATCCTAGTCTCATTTGTTCAAATATATTTTTCAACAGATCCAATATTGCACCAATAGTTAATAATCATATTACAATTAGCCATTAAAAACCTTTATATAACATGACATTAAGACTGCATACTTACCATTTGTATCTTTCCTTGCATTTTTCTTGAAATAGTGAGCATCTCTCAGTGTTTTTCCTATTGCTGGAAGGAATAACAGAGATTAATGAATGTTCTATAAATCAAAAGTACTTCCATCACATAAAATCTAACTGCTCAGCTCTCATAATCATTGTACATTTGGCCCACAACCATCAGCAGCTGATAAAGGACTTGGCAATACAGAATAGTCTGAATTGAGTTATGACAACTGTCACCTCACACATCACACTAAATTAAGCTGGACACAGTGCCTTTCCAACCAATGATGTTCACGCACCTCCACCTACACATTACTCACATAATAAATAGGTGTCCTTGACACTGTAAACAACAAGGATCCAAAAGGATGTCTGGTGTTCTGCCCCTCTTCTCAGAGGTTGACCTGCTAGACCTTCTCATGTCCCTTCTCTCAGACCTTCCCAGGGGCATCAGCCTCACTCTGACCCCTAGTGTGAGCTTGTGCTGCCTTGTCACTTTATCACTACACATGGAACTGCCTTTACAACATTTTACTCATCATAGCTCAATATAATACCATGATACTTCATTCATAATACATACCTTGCACTTAAAACTGAAAAACTCATTCTGGATCTTCCATCACCATGCTATGGTGAATCTGTTTAAAATGCAAAGTCTATCAATGCAGGCTTAACAAAAACCTCAAAAGTCAATGATGGTAAACCAGTGGAACAGCAACTGTGAAATTCGAGTCCCATCATTTATTTCAAGTACATTTTTCAGTGGATCTAACATTTGCAATAATTATAATCATTACAAAAATACCAATTCAAACCTTTTATACACATAATAAGAACTGCACATGATTCTATTCTTTTCTTCCTTGCATTTTCAATCTTGAAATAGAACTTGAGCATCTCTCACTGTGTTTTTCTTATTGCTGAAATAACATGAGATTAATAAATGTTCTATAAATCACAAGTACTTCCAAAACTTTAAAAATCTAACTGCTCAGCTCTCATAATCATTGTACATTTGGCCCACAACCATCAGCAGCTGATAAAGGACTTGGCAATACAGAATAGTCTGAATTGAGTTATGACAACTGTCACCTCACACATCACACTAAATTAAGCTGGACACAGTGCCTTTCCAACCAATGATGTTCACGCACCTCCACCTACACATTACTCACATAATAAATAGGTGTCCTTGACACAGTAAACAACAAGGATCCAAAAGGATGTCTGGTGTTCTGCCCCTCTTCTCAGAGGTTGACCTGCTAGACCTTCTCATGTCCCTTCTCTCAGACCTTCCCAGGGGCAAATGTGGCATCAGCCTCACTCTGACCCCTAGTGTGAGCTGCTTGTCACTTTATCACTACACATGGAACTACAACATTTTACTCATCATAGCAACTAATATAATACCATGATACTTCATTCATAATACATACCTTGCACTTAAAACTGAAAAACTCATTCTGGATCTTCCATCACCATGCTATGGTGAATCTGTTTAAAATGCAAAGTCTATCAATGCAGGCTTAAAAAAAACCTCAAAAGTCAATGATGGTAAACCAGTGGAACAGCAACTGTGAAATTCGAGTCCCATCATTTATTTCAAGTACATTTTTCAGTGGATCTAACATTTGCACCAATAGTTAATAATCATATTACAAAATATTCCCAATTCAAACCTTTATATACACAATAATAAGAACTGCATGCTTACCATGATTCTATTTCTTTTCTTCCTTGCATTTTCAATCTTGAAATAGAACTTGAGCATCTCTCACTGTTTTTCTTATTGCTGAAAATAACATGAGATTAATAAATGTTCTATAAATCACAAGTACTTCCAAAACTTTAAAAATCTAACTGCTCAGCTCTCATAATCATTGTACATTTGGCCACAACCATCAGCAGCTGATAAAGGACTTGGCAATACAGAATAGTCTGAATTGAGTTATGACAACTGTCACCTCACACATCACACTAAATTAAGCTGGACACAGTGCCTTTCCAACCAATGATGTTCACGCACCTCCACCTACACATTACTCACATAATAAATAGGTGTCCTTGACACTGTAAACAACAAGGTCCAAAAGGATGTCTGGTGTTCTGCCCCTCTTCTCAGAGGTTGACCTGCTAGACCTTCTCATGTCCCTTCTCTCAGACCTTCCAGGGGCAAATGTGGCATCAGCCTCACTCTGACCCCTAGTGTGAGCTTGTGCTGCCTTGTCACTTATCACTACACATGGAACTGCCTTTACAACATTTTACTCATCATAGCTCAACTAATATAATACCATGATACTTCATTCATCATAATACATACCTTGCACTTAAAACTGAAAAACTCATTCTGGATCTTCCATCACCATGCTATGGTGAATCTGTTTAAAATGCAAAGTCTATCAATGCAGGCTTAACAAAAACCTCAAAAGTCAATGATGGTAAACCAGTGGAACAGCAACTGTGAAATTCGAGTCCCATCATTTATTTCAAGTACATTTTTTCAGTGGATCTAACATTTGCACCAATAGTTAATAATCATATTACAAAATATTCCCAATTCAAACCTTTATATACACAATAATAAGAACTGCATGCTTACCATGATTCTATTTCTTTTCTTCCTTGCATTTCCAATCTTGAAATAGAACTTGAGCATCTCTCACAGTGTTTTTCTTATTGCTGAAAATAACATGAGATTAATAAATGTTCTATAAATCACAAGTACTTCCAAAACTTTAAAAATCTAACTGCTCAGCTCTCATAATCATTGTACATTTGGCCAACAACCATCAGCAGCTGATAAAGGACTTGGCAATACAGAATAGTCTGAATTGAGTTATGACAACTGTCACCTCACACATCACACTAAATTAAGCTGGACACAGTGCCTTTCCAACCAATGATGTTCACGCACCTCCACCTACACATTACTCACATAATAAATAGGTGTCCTTGACACTGTAAACAACAAGGATCCAAAAGGATGTCTGGTGTTCTGCCCCTCTTCTCAGAGGTTGACCTGCTAGACCTTCTCATGTCCCTTCTCTCAGACCTTCCCAGGGGCAAATGTGGCATCAGCCTCACTCTGACCCCTAGTGTGAGCTTGTGCTGCCTTGTCACTTTATCACTACACATGGAACTGCCTTTACAACATTTTACTCATCATAGCTCAATATAATACCATGATACTTCATTCATAATACATACCTTGCACTTAAAACTGAAAAACTCATTCTGGATCTTCCATCACCATGCTATGGTGAATCTGTTTAAAATGCAAAGTCTATCAATGCAGGCTTAACAAAAACCTCAAAAGTCAATGATGGTAAACCAGTGGAACAGCAACTGTGAAATTCGAGTCCCATCATTTATTTCAAGTACATTTTTCAGTGGATCTAACATTTGCACCAATAGTTAATAATCATATTACAAAATATTCCCAATTCAAACCTTTATATACACAATAATAAGAACTGCATGCTTACCATGATTCTATTTCTTTTCCTTGCATTTTCAATCTTGAAATAGAACTTGAGCATCTCTCACGGTGTTTTTCTTATTGCTGAAAATAACATGAGATTAATAAATGTTCTATAAATCACAAGTACTTCCAAAACTTTAAAAATCTAACTGCTCAGCTCTCATAATCATTGTACATTTGGCCCACAACCATCAGCAGCTGATAAAGGACTTGGCAATACAGAATAGTCTGAATTGAGTTATGACAACTGTCACCTCACACATCACACTAAATTAAGCTGGACACAGTGCCTTTCCAACCAATGATGTTCACGCACCTCCACCTACACATTACTCACATAATAAATAGGTGTCCTTGACACTGTAAACAACAAGGATCCAAAAGGATGTCTGGTGTTCTGCCCCTCTTCTCAGAGGTTGACCTGCTAGACCTTCTCATGTCCCTTCTCTCAGACCTTCCCAGGGCATCAGCCTCACTCTGACCCCTAGTGTGAGCTTGTGCTGCCTTGTCACTTTATCACTACACATGGAACTGCCTTTACAACATTTTACTCATCATAGCTCAACTAATATAATACCATGATACTTCATTCATAATACATACCTTGCACTTAAAACTGAAAAACTCATTCTGGATCTTCCATCACCATGCTATGGTGAATCTGTTTAAAATGCAAAGTCTATCAATGCAGGCTTAACAAAAACCTCAAAAGTCAATGATGGTAAACCAGTGGAACAGCAACTGTGAAATTCGAGTCCCATCATTTATTTCAAGTACATTTTTCAGTGGATCTAACATTTGCACCAATAGTTAATAATCATATTACAAAATATTCCCAATTCAAACCTTTATATACACAATAATAAGAACTGCATGCTTACCATGATTCTATTTCTTTTCTTCCTTGCATTTTCCAATCTTGAAATAGAACTTGAGCATCTCTCACGGTGTTTTTCTTATTGCTGAAAAATAACATGAGATTAATAAATGTTCTATAAATCACAAGTACTTCCAAAACTTTAAAAATCTAACTGCTCAGCTCTCATAATCATTGTACATTTGGCCAACAACCATCAGCAGCTGATAAAGGACTTGGCAATACAGAATAGTCTGAATTGAGTTATGACAACTGTCACCTCACACATCACACTAAATTAAGCTGGACACAGTGCCTTTCCAACCAATGATGTTCACGCACCTCCACCTACACATTACTCACATAATAAATAGGTGTCCTTGACACAGTAAACAACAAGGATCCAAAGGGATGTCTGGTGTTCTGCCCCTCTTCTCAGAGGTTGACCTGCTAGACCTTCTCATGTCCCTTCTCTCAGACCTTCCCAGGGGCAAATGGCATCAGCCTCACTCTGACCCCTAGTGTGAGCTTGTGCTGCCTTGTCACTTTATCACTACACATGGGAACTGCCTTTACAACATTTTACTCATCATAGCTCAAATAATACCATGATACTTCATTCATAATACATACCTTGCACTTAAAACTGAAAAACTCATTCTGGATCTTCCATCACCATGCTATGGTGAATCTGTTTAAAATGCAAAGTCTATCAATGCAGGCTTAACAAAAACCTCAAAAGTCAATGATGGTAAACCAGTGGAACAGCAACTGTGAAATTCGAGTCCCATCATTTATTTCAAGTACATTTTTCAGTGGATCTAACATTTGCACCAATAGTTAATAATCATATTACAAAATATTCCCAATTCAAACCTTTATATACACAATAATAAGAACTGCATGCTTACCATGATTCTATTTTTTCTTCCTTGCATTTCCAATCTTGAAATAGAACTTGAGCATCTCTCACTGTGTTTTTCTTATTGCTGAAAATAACATGAGATTAATAAATGTTCTATAAATCACAAGTACTTCCAAAACTTTAAAAATCTAACTGCTCAGCTCTCATAATCATTGTACATTTGGCCACAACCATCAGCAGCTGATAAAGGACTTGGCAATACAGAATAGTCTGAATTGAGTTATGACAACTGTCACCTCACACATCACACTAAATTAAGCTGGACACAGTGCCTTTCCAACCAATGATGTTCACGCACCTCCACCTACACATTACTCACATAATAAATAGGTGTCCTTGACACAGTAAACAACAAGGATCCAAAGGGATGTCTGGTGTTCTGCCCTCTTCTCAGAGGTTGACCTGCTAGACCTTCTCATGTCCCTTCTCTCAGACCTTCCCAGGGGCAAATGTGGCATCAGCCTCACTCTGACCCCTAGTGTGAGCTTGTGCTGCCTTGTCACTTTATCACTACACATGGAACTGCCTTTACAACATTTTACTCATCATAGCTCAACTAATATAATACCATGATACTTCATTCATAATACATACCTTGCACTTAAAACTGAAAAACTCATTCTGGATCTTCCATCACCATGCTATGGTGAATCTGTTTAAAATGCAAAGTCTATCAATGCAGGCTTAACAAAAACCTCAAAAGTCAATGATGGTAAACCAGTGGAACAGCAACTGTGAAATTCGAGTCCCATCATTTATTTCAAGTACATTTTTCAGTGGATCTAACATTTGCACCAATAGTTAATAATCATATTACAAAATATTCCCAATTCAAACCTTTATATACACAATAATAAGAACTGCATGCTTACCATGATTCTATTTCTTTTCTTCCTTGCATTTTCAATCTTGAAATAGAACTTGAGCATCTCTCACTGTTTTTCTTATTGCTGAAAATAACATGAGATTAATAAATGTTCTATAAATCACAAGTACTTCCAAAACTTTAAAAATCTAACTGCTCAGCTCTCATAATCATTGTACATTTGGCCAACAACCATCAGCAGCTGATAAAGGACTTGGCAATACAGAATAGTCTGAATTGAGTTATGACAACTGTCACCTCACACATCACACTAAATTAAGCTGGACACAGTGCATTTCCAACCAATGATGTTCACGCACCTCCACCTACACATTACTCACATAATAAATAGGTGTCCTTGACACAGTAAACAACAAGGGTCCAAAAGGATGTCTGGTGTTCTGCCCCTCTTCTCAGAGGTTGACCTGCTAGACCTTCTCATGTCCCTTCTTCAGCATCAGCCTCACTCTGACCCCTAGTGTGAGCTTGTGCTGCCTTGTCACTTTTATCACTACACATGGCACTGCCTTTACAACATTTTACTCATCATAGCTCAACTAATATAATACCATGATACTTCATTCATAATACATACCTTGCACTTAAAACTGAAAAACTCATTCTGGATCTTCCATCACCATGCTATGGTGAATGTTTAAAATGCAAAGTCTATCAATGCAGGCTTAACAAAAACCTCAAAAGTCAATGATGGTAAACCAGTGGAACAGCAACTGTGAAATTCGAGTCCCATCATTTATTTCAAGTACATTTTTCAGTGGATCTAACATTTGCACCAATAGTTAATAATCATATTACAAAATATTCCCAATTCAAACCTTTATATACACAATAATAAGAACTGCATGCTTACCATGATTCTATTTCTTTTCTTCCTTGCATTTCCAATCTTGAAATAGAACTTGAGCATCTCTCACGGTGTTTTTTCCTTATTGCTGAAAATAACATGAGATTAATAAATGTTCTATAAATCACAAGTACTTCCAAAACTTTAAAAAATCTAAGCTGCTCAAGCTCTCATAATCATTGTACATTTGGCCCACCAAAAAAAACCATTCAGGCAGCTGATTAAAGGGGGGGATTGGGCAATAAACCAGGAAATAGTCCTTGAAATTTGGAGGGTTTATTTTTTGGAACCCAAAAAAACCTTGTTTTTTCAAACCCTTTCCCAAAAACCCACACCACCCAACTTAAATTAAAAAGCTGAACAG